CCTGGAGGACAGGAAGTACAGATGTGAACCCCAGGCCCTGGAGGACTGCTGGGTAATATCCTGGGTACCAACAGAGCACACCTTCCACATCATCCTTCTGGGGCTGCACGAGGGGAGCCAGGACATTGGCGCGTCCTTCTGGAAGCCCTGCAGGTCCCTCACCCTGGAGGGGAGGCCCCAGAGCCAGGACTGAGGCTGCCCTGCACACCCCCAGGCTGGCCCTGGTCCTCCTCTAGATCCAGGGCCCTCACAGCAGGAAGCAGGATGGAACACAGACTCAAGTCCTCTCCTCTCTACTGGCTTTTCCTTCGTCTTCTTTACTGTGGCAAAACACACTCTCATCTTACCTTCTTAACCCTTCCTAAGTGCACAGTCGGCAGTACTGACCACGTTCAGCCTGGCTTGCTGCCAGGACCACCACATCTCCAGGTGCTCCCTCCCCCAAAACCTGAATCCACACCATGAATGACAGCTCCCCCCACCCCTGGTCCTGTAGCCGCATCCTGCTTTCTGACTGTGATTTTCACATGCTCAGTCCTTTCTTTGTGAGGAATCACAGAGTTGGTCCTTTGGGAATGACTTGTTTCATTCCAATTTTAGAAATATCATATAAGTCTATGTTACCATGAAGCTCAAAACACTGACCACGGCCAGGAGTGGAGGGGTTGTGATCGAGCAGGGACACCTCAGGCTGTGGAAGCTGCGCATGTGTGCACAACTTCCAGGCTGTTCATTTCACACATGCCGAGTGTGTTTACGAGGCCTCCGCACTTGTTGGACAGAATGATAGAGATGCTTTAAAGCTCAGTGCCTGGATTGAATAGCGGACTAGCCGCGGCTAAGGGCTGCACTGGTACCATGATACAGGGAAATGTTCTGAACATAGAACAGGATTCAAAAGGCAGCTAGGCAGCAGCAGACACACAGAGCAGTAACAACGCAGATGGTGTGTGTGACTGCGACTCCAGAAGGAGAGGGAGAATTAGCAGACAAGAAGTTTCCAAAGTTGACAAAAAGCTTCTAGCCTTAGGTTCAAGAGGTAGTGTATATAAGAAGTAGCACACATCAAGAGGTACCGCACACCAAAAGGTACAGAAAACCAGTGGTACCACACATCAAGAGGTACCGCACACCAAGAGGTACAGAAAACCAGTGGTACCACTCACCAAGAGGTACTGCACACCAAGAGGTGCCACACACCAAGAGGTATATCACACCAAGAGGTGCCGCACACCAGGAAGAGCTCCACCTCAGGAAGTGCTGTACTTCAAGAGTTCTTACGTACCAAGAACTATTGTTTTAGTCAGCTTTGCATTGCTACAACCAAAAGACCTGAGCACAACTTGAAGAAGGAGAAGTGTATTGGGCTCATGGTTTCAGAGGCTGAGTCCACAGCTTGCCACTCCACAGCTCTGGGCCTAAGGAGAAGCAGAGCATCGTGGTGGAAGGGCACAGAGGAAGAAAGCACATGGCCACCGGGAAGGACATGGCCACCAGGAAGCAGAGCTCCACTCACCTGGGACAAAGTATAGCCCCAGAGGCACATTCCCTAGTGGCCCACTTCTCCCCACCACACCATGCCGGCCTGCTCTGCCTCCCAGTCGGTCCACTGAGTAGGTTTCAGCTCTCATGTAAACTATCATTTCACCTCTGAAAGTTTTGCATTGTCTCACAGATGAGCTTTTGGGGGACTCCTCATATCTAAACGTTAATATTCTGATCCTGGCTTCAAAAGCTTATCTCTCTCTCATAATGCAAAATACATCGAGTCCAGGTTCAAGAGTCCCCACCATCCTGACAGTTCCAGCATCGCCTAAAAGTCCAAGTCTACAATCTCAGCAGAGACTCATGGCAAACTCTTAGCTAGGAAAGTGAATATCGAAAGCCAGTTATGTACATCTGATATGTAGTGACAGAGTAAACACTTCTGTTCCACGACAAAGGAGAGGGCATAGAAAGGAGGGATGGGGACAAAGCAAGACCAAAATCCACTGGGCAAACAAGTCCTGTGGCTCCATGTCCCGGGGCATTGTGACGTCCTGCCCTGTGGCTTTGCTGGTCACAGCCTCTTGGTTGTCCGTGCTCAGTTCCTGCAGCTTTCCTTGGCAGACATCCCACATTACTGGCATTTCTTAATCTTGGGGTCTCCACTGCGGCTTTGGCTTCCTTCTCAATCTTCACTATTTGCCCTCTTAGGGCTTCCCACAGGGACTCCAAGCCTGCCATACTTTTCCTGGCCTCCCTGGCCTTTCAAATCTTGGGGGAAGACTCCATGACCCCCTGACTCCAGCTTCTTGCATTCCTGCAGAACCAGCACCTCATGCTGGCTGCCATCTCAAGCAGTAGCCAAGCCTCTGGGGCCATGGCTGCAGCAGAGCCTCTAAGTGCCTGGTGGCTGAGCACAGTGAACAACTTCCCGCCCCCTGCGCAAGCAGGTGTCCCACTGTTCTCTTCCTGAGGGATTTTTACTTTCACACCTGAGTAGATGCCCACTCCTGAGATGCCTCAAGTCATCTTTCTGACTGTCTTTGGGTGAAGTGTTCAGTGTTTTTTGCATGACTATAATATCTGTCTTTAATGGCTACAATTTCCTTAGTCCCAGTTTTACACTTTTCCAGCCAAACTGCATTTTTCAAATCCCTCTGCTTGGTTTTCTGTTCCTGATGTCACAGGAAATTTGTTGAAATATTCATGCAACTGGCTCAACACTCTGCTGTTGGAATTTCCTCCTCCAGATTCGTTAGTAGATCACCTTGACATTCAGCCTCACAGAAATTCTCAGGGTATGGCAAATGTCGACAACTTCTCGGCCAGAACATGACACAAACGCCCTCTAGTTTCCACAGAGTCCTCCTCCTGCTCTGGAACCTCACGGTCCCAGACTCACCCTCAACATCCTGGTCTGCTGAGCTCCACCAGCATCGCCCATTAAGCCCCGCCCACAACATTCCAGAGCTTTTCCAGCTTGGATCTCTAACCTTCTTCTCAGAATTCCTGTCCCTGAGAACTAGCTCCAAAGGCTTCTGAACCACGCTGTCAGGTCAGTCACAGCAATGGCCCCACTTCTTGGTACTGATTTTGGTGTCAACTTTGTCCCTGTGTCCTAAAGACCTGACAAGAACAGCACAAGAGGAGGAAAAGTTTATCTTGGCTCAGAGTGTCCGAGGTTTGGTCCATCGTTGGCCAAAGCCATGGCTCTGGGCCCGAGGTGAGGCGGAGCGTCGTGGTGGAAGGGCTTGGAGGAGGAAAGCAGCGGAGGTCACGGCCACCATGTAGCGGACAAGGAGCCCGGCTCACCACAGGTACATCTCCAGTGACCTGCCTCTTCCAGAGACACCCTGTCTGCCTTAATCACCACCCATTTAATTCATATCCGTGCATTAATCACCAATTAGGTGATAGCTTTCATGATCTAATCTTTTCACCTCCAAAATTCTTGAATTGTCTCACACATGAGATTTTGGAAGATACCTCATATCCACATCAGAACAGTATTCCACACAGGAAGTACTGCATCCCCACAGGTACGGCATCCCAAGAGGCACTGCATCCCAGAGGCACTATACAGCAGGAAGTACCACCTACCAGGAAATAAACATGCCAAGAAGTAAAGACGCCAGGAAGTCCTGCACACCAGGAAGTGCTTCATACCAAAAGGTACTACCCACCCGAGAACTATTCACACCCAGAAGCCCTACAAAAGGTACACACACCAGGAAGTACCACGTACCAGGAAGTACTACATACCAGAAAGTGCTACACCCCAAGAAGGGCTGCACCTCAAGAAGGGCAAACCCAGGCCAATAAGGGCTCCCAGAGTCAGGGAACAAATGACCCATTGACTCACAATGCACAGGAAAAAACAGGATGGCTGCCTTCCGCCCAGAAGAGAGAGGAGAGCACTGCACAGTCACCAAAGAGCCGCAGCTGGTAATTCACACCCAGTGGAAATGACCTCCAGGGGCAAAAGTCTGAACCAAGCAAACACACACATGTCTCAAAAAGTTGTGTTTGCTGTCCCTCCTAGACCGCTGGGCAAGAGGAGCACCAACAGGAGGAATGGGAAAATGAAACTGCCCTGTGGCAAGGGACCCGAGCACATCCACAGGAAATCCAAAGAGTCACTGGCAGATCATGGCAGCTGGTGAGGGCATTCAGCAGAGCCCAGGCGTCAGCTGTCACAGGCCAGCCATGGGCCATCGGACAGCCGGCAGTGCTCCCTGACCGTCTCCAGTGACTTCTGCTTTCTTTACACCTCTGGCCTTCAGTACTGCTTTATTTCAGAAAGAAAAATAGCCCCAGAAGACGTCTGAGCCTGTGTGCACTCGCTGTGCCCCAAGCACCCTGACAGTCCAGGGCTCAGCCTAGTCACCCAAGGTCAGAACGCTCCCCAGGTGCCCAGGGGGCTGACCCTATCCTCGGGCAACAGCGCTCATCTAACCACTCAAGACCATGGGAGAATCACCCGGGCCAAGACTTAGTTTCTGACGTGGTGTTGCACATATGGTCAAGGTAACATGGCATAAGCATCTTCTCTTCTGATCTTTAGATAATTCAACATGTTAGTACTTTAAGATTGTATTCTGCTGCATTTTTTCATTTTTATAAAAAACAAAGAGGATCAACAGATAGAAAGAGAGAGAGAGGGAGAGAGGGAGAGTGATGGTGGGAGAGAGGGAGGGAGAGAAACATGCCATTTCCAGATAGTCCCCGGGGAGAGTGAGAGGGCACGGCTGGCAGCCCCAGCCACACACAAGGCAGCGAGGGTGGCTGCATGCAACCTGGCTTCCAAGTGCAACGAGGGGTGAGAGTTGAACTCAACCTTGTGCTCCGGGGCTCCCTTAAAGGACATTCAAGTTTTATTCTAAGTCAAACCCATGTAACATGAGAAAAGGTGAACTGGGAGCAAGGGGCTTCCCCACTTTGTGTACGGCCAGAATGTGGCCCTCCACCTCTGATGATCTCCATGTTCTCCTCTACAGCATAAATCCTACAATCACGGATTAAGAAAACTTTAAATAAAGTATAGCTTTAGCCACTTTGTAGAAGAGTTTATTTTAGATTTTATGCAACCATTTGCCTTACAGAATAATTAGTGATTATGGGGGTTTTGTATGTGAGCACAATTCATTTTTGCAAGTGGAGTCCCATCAGTCCAAGGAAACAAGGAAGCGTCTGTTGGCTGTGGATCTGAAGTCGACTGGCTTGTTCCCTGCCACCTGATGACCCAGAGCCAGTCCGTCAGGCAAGCCTGCGTTGGAAGAGTTAATGTTCAGGGAATTACAGGGCTGGCCCATCATCTTTCAGGAGAACATTTCAGATCTTTCCATGGAAAATTTTGCTTCATTAACTTGGCCTGAAACTTAAAATTATTTTCACAGATCTTAAAAATCTCACAATGAGTCTCTCTGTGGAAGGCTGAGCATCTCTGCTGGTGGACTTTCTTTAACGTGTGTGTGGAGGGCAGTGAAATTCAAACAGGACATGGCCTCAGTGGTGCCAAAGAAAAGAGAAAGCCCGCTGTGTAAACAGCAGCGTTGCCGGTCTGGCAGGAGGTGGCGATGGGACATGGGAGCACTGTCATTTACAGGAAAGAAAGTCACCCCCAAGCCTGCAGGAAAAACAGAAAGGAGCTGTTAGGAAGGAAGGGTCATGGGTTGGGTGCACAGGAACTTTCCTCCTCTAATGCAGCAGATCAGGGGCAATCAGTGAAATCTATCTGGCATCAATGAGCACATGATCTGTTGCGGGGGGGCCAGCACCCCACCAGGGTAGATTCCTGCTCAGGAGGTGTGAGCCGCCTAAGAAACAGAAAGTTGAAATGGTGAAAAGTAGAGACAAAGCTAGAAATTAGACAAGAGGAGCGCTTGACACATCTTCCAGTCCTCAAGGAGCTGGAGCAAAACAACGAAGGTGGCTCTGGTCTGTACTGGAGGACATCCAAGGCAGGGACGAGGTTTCAGTGGGCGGGGCCTTGCTTCAGGCTGCCTTGCGGTCACAGGTTGATTGGCATCTTGGCCAGCCACACCCATCTCCCAGAGACTGTGTGGCTGTGTGGCTCCAGGGGGCCACCTGGTCTCTGGTGCAGTGCTGCACTCAGACAGAGCTGGGTAGGAAGCCACAGGTAGTGGGCGGTCTCAACCCAGCAGGGTGCTGCCGGGAGTTCCCAATGCCAGACATTCCTGCTGAATGGCTTCCGTGTCATTTTTAGTGACATGTCATCTCAGGCCATGGAATCAGCTTGAATCTGGAGGTGCTGGCTGCAGCCTCCTGTGCTGGGGGCCAGGAGGGGCTGCACCGCAGGGGCACTGCTGGGCCCGGCTTGCAGTTCTTCATGATCCTGAACAAGCAGAGCCAGCTCTCGTTCTGCTACGGTCCCTGATGGTCCCTAACACTTCATAGCTGGTCCTGACCCAGGCTTCAAGTCAGTCGCCTTTCCTCACTGACAGAGCAGGCTGCGGCTGCTCCAGGGGGACCATCACCCACCTGCCTCTGTTCTCCTGGCCACCAAGAGCCCTCAGCAACAGCTAGAACGGGGTCTCAGAGCCCACCCCAGACGACGCACCCCAGCAGGAGCCCAGGGTGAGCCAAAAGCTCGAGAAGCCGTCAGCGGGCCTCTGGCACGTGGTATCCGCTGGGCAAACATTTGCTCTCATCGCTTCCTCCGAAGCCGATTATCAAAGCACCTCAAGGCCAGTCTGGTTCCTCAGGGTGCTTTCCAAGTCCGTCTCCCTCGTTTCCAGAATAATGAGACGCTGCTGAAATAGAGCCGCAGCCGGGGGTGGCAGACCAGCCGGTGACGTCGCTGGGAAGCCGTAGGACAGGCATCCTGACAGGTGCACAGACACACAGCACTGCTCTTCAGCCGGGAGAGAGATGCCAGCGGACCAGGGTGTGTGGACGGAGGTTCCCTGCTAGCCGCACAGTTGCCATTATCACTGTCACCTCGACATCAGGACTCCCTCTGCCACCGCGATCCCTTGCTGCCCTGTACCGTTTCCTTCACTGATGCCCCATTCCGCTCACCCCTGCTTCTCCATTTCTGTGGTCCAACAGCCCCTCTGAGCCCCCTCCTCCTCGTGCCCAGTTCTACCATCCCTGGGCAGCCCTGACCTGGCTTCTCTCCAACCCCGCTGGGCTGCTGAGGCCCCCATGCTGGCTGGGACCATCGCTGTCTCCCCACGGGCTAAGCGTGGCTGCGGGAAGGCGTGGCTCTGCCAACTGTCTCTCCCTGAATCGAGGAGCGCAGGCCCGGGCACTGCCCGCCAGGCCGGAACACTCTCTCGCCTCCAACCTGCCCGTCTCCCGAAACAGAGTCCACACCTTCTCCCCTCAGGAGAGAAGCCCTTGGCATGTGGATGATCCCGGGTCAGCCTTTTCTCTCTTCTTTTGGGGTTCAACCAGGTCAACCCTACCGGGGACCACATCCCCACCCATTTTTATTTCTATTTTTTGAGACAGGACCTCGCCAAATGGCAGGGCTGGCCTTGAACTTGCCACCCTCCTGCCTCGGCCTCCCTAGGCATAGCCCTTTCTCCTCAGCACGCAGCCAGCACTGCGCCCCTCTGGTTCAGGATTTCATGTGTTGAAGAAGGTTGTGGCCAGCCTGTTTGGTTCCTCTTAGGCCTCGCCCGTCCCTCACCCCTGCCCCCTCGTTCCATTTAGAGAGACGAAAGTTCTGACAGGGAGTGGGCGAGGGTCTCTCTGCTGCGTTCTCACCACTTTCCCAGCCTTTGATGACGTTGGCTCTGTAAGCTCTCCCTCCAGCCCAGGAAGGACGACTTCCATTGTGTCTGGCTCACAGCTGTGGCCCTGATGGTGCCCAGGTGACCCTGTTCTGTCCGTGTGCTTCCTGTGCACCCTGGAGAGTTCCCTGATGCCTACTCACATTCTGGGAGAGTGGACGTTCACGGTCCCCATCTGGTTTCCTGAGGTGTTCAAAGGTGCTATCTGGTGGCAGGAGCATGTGAACTAACTAGAAAGGCCACAGGGAGTCCCGAGAACGTGGAAGCCGGCGCCCAGGATCACAGGGCCCATTGTGATTGTCCGCCCAGCTCCATCACCGCGAGGCACCCTGCCATGTTTGAGTTTCTTTCTTGTCTCAGGCTGCCCTTGGTTACCACCCAAGACTCCGACTTTTGATTCCACTGAGCACTTAGAACCGTGCCTCTTGCTGAATGAATAAATTAGCACCACCCACTAGAAATGTGTGGGAAGGAAGCGGGACGCTACCGAGAGAGCATGGGAGAATGTGGAGGTTTCTGAGATGAAGACAGAAAGATGCAAAAGCCATGCTCCTTGTCCTCAAAGAATTTGTAATTCACAGGTGTCCCAAACAAACATGTACTTGAAAAAAGAAGCTGTAGGAAGTTGGGGGACCATCTAGGTTACAGAATTGGGATAAGGGAGGGTGGCTCCAAGGGACCCCAGGTGTAGACCAGGAGAAGAAGGCAGGAGGAGGGACCTTAAACAGGGGACATTGCCAGCAACGGCACCAGCAAGGACCATTCCTGCGGGCTCAGGCAGAGGCCTGGGCTCCTGTACTTCACAACTCAGCACGTAGCCAGCTCCATCTAAAGACCTGGTCCTTCCAGGAAAGCTGGCCTGGCAGGCCAAGCCTGGAGACCGTGCACTGAGCGTGCAGGACCATCCTGACACAACCTTGAGAATGTGAACTGCTCCCTGTTAACTTTGAATATTAATTGTTACTTGTTTTTCTCTCCATTTCCCACAGAGTGGCCACCCCATTTGGAGGATTTGAGAAGGCATCAAAAATGGTGAAATTCAAAGTTCCAGATTTTGAGCTACTGCTGCTGACAGATCCTAGGTTCATGGCTTGTGCCAACCCCCTTTCTGGCCGACGGTCCTTCAACAGGACTCCGAAGGGATGGGTGTCTGAGAATATTCCCATAGTGGTAGCTGCTGAGTCTGCAGAGGACACCACGGTGCCAGAGTCGGAGGACCTGTGAGCAGGCGCGGGTGCCACAGGACCTCCGCCGCAGAGTGGCTGTCCCTGCACTCCTCTCTGTCGAGCCACCCGCAGGTGTCCCTGGCAGAGAGCCATCCCGGCCGGCGGCCTTCCTGTGTGGTGCTGCATTTCAGTGTCAGACGCAGTGAATGATTAAAACGGTTATGAAACCCCTAACTCGCCGTATTCATCCATGGCTCACGTTCACCCGGGTCGAACCACCCAGCCTTCTCTGAGAGAAGGCTCAGAGGCAGAGGAACTTTCCAGAGCTTCGTCTGCCTCCTTTGATGAGTTAGTGCGAACCCAGTCTTCCAAGCAGAATGGAGAGGCAGACCCGGCCAGGGCGCTGGGCTGGGGGGGGGGACAAGGAAGGAGCTCCTCTCACTGCTGGTGTAGGGGCCGTGGGCTCTTCCTGGTGGCCAGTCTGGCAGGGTCTGGATGAAGTCTTTCATGTCCTCCTTGGACTTCTGACTCTGTGTTCTCCAGCTTGCCTCGAGTCACCAGGTCACTCTGCCGGAAGAGGCTGTCCAGAGTTCACTGGTCATTAAGTTCACGTAGCACTTCCTCCCAAGTCTGGGAGCCAGCGGCTGCAGGGACCTCCTCCCCTCCCTTCCAGTGGCCATGCTGAGCTCAGAATCCAGGTTCCACAGGTCCAGTGTGTTGGTTGGTCGACTTTCCACAGGCGTCGTTAGACGAGGGTTACAAATGACGTGCTACTAATCTACCCACAAGTCAGCAACGTGTGCATGGGAGAGGGGGCAGCCTGAATTCCACCCGGCCCTGGGGTCTGGGAGCTCAGGGGTGCAACACCAGGGAAAGACATGGTGAGCAAGCAGGGTCCGAACCCAAAGCAGTGACCCTCCGCCATGGGGCCTGATGCGGCCCAAAAGGGCAGGTCTGGGGGGCACAGGGACCTGCGCTTCAGGGTAGCCCAACCTTATCCATTGGGGGGCTTGTGATGGCGCTCCGCAAATGAGCATCTCTGTCCCTGGAGAGCTTCCTGCAGGCGGGGAGAGGAGGGGAGGGAAGGGGAGGGGAGAGGTGGGAGAGGAGGGGAGAGGTGGGAGAGGAGG